AGATGGAAGGAGTAACAAATGTGAAAGTCTTTGCTGTTTACGCGAGTAAGCAACTGACACTGTGATACATTGCATGAAAGTTTTGTCCGTGGCAGGTGTTAGCAGATGTCATTTCGTTGCCGATTGGCTTGTTTTAATTAAACATGAATTCGCTTAAAGGGAACTCGGTTAACGGAAAGGCTTCTCTTTAATTCATAATATTAACCGGAGGAGTGCTTTTTCGAGTATCTATGCCGTTTTAAATGGGTTATATGAAGGGCTAGGGCACCTAACTTGTTAAAATCGGCAAAAGCACTTTCGCACTTTTTTTTTCGACTGCGAAGCACTTTCGCACTCATAATTTGCTTAGAGTTAACACTGAATTTTGAACCCATACAAACCCTAACCCTTGGGTTTTAGCACCCGCATATAGATTGAACTCGCGGATATACGTATGCAAATGTATGGGTTCAAATGTAGGATACATAGGTGCAAATGTACGGTCACCGGAAATGTATGGGTGCAAATGTCCAGGGTGCAGTTCACGGGTGCAAATATGCTGTCACCTAATCATTGAGTTATTTGATTCGTTCTGAAATTTTCAAAACACAACTAAAAACTAGCAAATAGCATGCAAAAACGAGGCAATGTTAAAGCCATGCCATAAAATCTATCTGTGCGACTGCTAAAACGTCTACCGTTATGTCGCTTTCCCGAAGTGAAAACAGAAATTTTCAAAAAATTCTAAAGATTTTCTTGCTCCATTGGATGAATTCGAATTTAGACAGGTATCGTCTTATCATGGGTATTTGTGCGCCTGCAGAGAAGGACTTTTGAACATATTCTAGAGAAACATAACTTTTGTGCAAAGCGTCCTAGATTACTGGAATTTTTGGGGGTATAATCATAATCGTAGGCCTACACACATTCAATGACTTTTCTTCATTTTTAGAAATAATTTACAAATTTATGGGTTCTGTTTTTTTGATTTCCCATGTTTAGGCAGCCGTAATTAGTTCAATTCCTCCGTCATCAAGTCCATGCAACCGAAAACAAATAATTGGCTAACTAATCCCATGGACTGCTCACCGTGCGAGAGGCCGTGGTCCGCCATATTATGATTAAGCCGTATTATCGGCTTTCCTCTTCCCCGGAATAAATATGTAAATCTTATCCTATCCTAAATTTAAAGGTTTGGAAATAAGTGTTTTCGTTGCAAAATTGGTCAATATGGCTAATTAAAAAATTTTGTCAGAGATTTTGTTTTTCCAGATATGGTAACCCTAATGTGAATGAAATGTTTAGTCTTTGCCAGTTTGTATATTTATGGTTTAAAATAAATAATAGAGGTAATCGGCGGGTAACAATCATGGGCGGCCTCGTTACATGCATACCGCCTCCTGCGTGCATAAGGGTGGCATAGAAAAGATATTCTTCTTCTCTCGTACACAAAAACGTTTGAAAAGGTGCAAATCGCTTAAATCCACGAAAAATTCCGAATTGCAGAATTATATTCCGCATCACGAATTTTTCTGGCGTATTCCCTTGGTACTTTTTACAAATTCTTCGTGATTTTTATGATGTGATTCTACTTTCTCGTAGTTGGAAGCAACTAGAACTAGATGGAACTTTTTGCCTGATATCAAATAGTTCGACAATTCCAGAGCCAAAAAATAAACAATTGATCATTGAACGACATTGTTAAAAGCCTGTTTCTATTTGGAATATCTTTATTAGGTAATAATCAGGCGTCAGTTTAGCTGTAAAACTGTCTCGCATTAGACCCGAAAGCTGCTCAAGAAATGATTGATTGAAGATGATTGATTGAAAATGATTGATTGAATATAAATACAATGTTCATAAGTACATGTATTCATTTTTAGAGTGGGATACGTTGGACAAGTGGGACACGACATTTTCGAGACACCGTTCACATCGAGGTGTAGTTGAGTTATGTAGAGAAATAGAGCGTTTTAAATGTCCATTTCAACTATCGTCGTATTTCGTTCATATTGTGTATTGTTCGCATAAAATTAGAAGATTGGTAGAGTTCGTGCTAACTCATGTTCTACATAGGACTCGTATTCTAAATAGTTGGTGACGTTCAAAGTAGAAAACTTAGGCAAATTAAAATTTACATTAGCAAACACTTGGTCCACAGATAACAACCTCATGTAAAATTTATAATATATACTCTATGTCCGCTATATCCCTACTAAAATGGCTATGTTGCTACTATAATGGCTATATCCTCTATGTCCCTACTAAAATGGCTATGTCCCTTTTAAAATGACTATGTCTTCACATGACATAGCATTTTAGTAGGGACATACAGTACTGACATAGCGGACATCGCCATTTCAGTGGGAACATAGCGGACATAGTCATTTTAATAATAACATAGCGGACATAGCCATTTTAGTAGAGACATAACGGTCATCGCCTATTTAGTAGAAACAAAGCGGTCGTAGCCATTCTAGTAAAGACATATCGGGATTGCTATTTTATAGGGGACATAGCCATTTTATAACTACCCGTAGTACTGTAGTATGTACCCGATAACAGGCTTCTGGGCTTGGGAGTTATCCGTTCGAATGGAAGTAAATTAGATATCCCCGGGATAAATATGTTAATCCTATCCTAATTTCGAGCAATGAATGCAGAAATCTGGAAATACAGAAATAGGCCAAGACAGTAAGAATCCACTTATACAGGAATAGGTCGTGGTGGTGGTCATAGTTTACAGGTTTCTAATTATTAGTATGGAGACAGATTTCGAGCATACAGTACTGCTTTCAGGCTTTTACATCTTGTTCTTAGTTCAGGCGCGGCGAGAGTGGAAGTGGTTACTCTTCTACGGCCCATGGGCCGGGGCCACAGCCCATCAGGCTATTGGCCGCGGTCCATCAAGTTGTGTAAAGGGATAAAATATGAAAGACTAATAAATATGTAAATCCTACCCACTCCCCGAACTCATAATAGAACTATAACGTGAAAAATCTGAACAAAATTTTGTCCTAACCCTATCCTGGTACACATACTTCAGGCAGTCAGGTGTATCCTTTTCTGTAGCTTAGTATTTTGCTTTATTTTTATGTAAAGGCTTATCGTAAGAAAAAGGTTTGGTGGCATCCCGCGATTTCTTTTTTGGTTCGAATATTGACAATTTTGTAAAAATTGAAAATTTTTGTAAGATAATTGAATTTTTTCCTGATGGGTCGCGGCCCATAGCTTGATGGGCCACGGCCCATGTGGCCCAATTAGATGGGCCGTGGCTCGGCCCATGGGCCGTAGAGCAGTCACCACCTCTGTAGCGCGGCGGTGTGGCTCAACGGGCTAAGCGCTAGGAATACGCTCGCCACCGCACCTCTAATTACTCTGTGTGGGTTCGCAGGTTCAAATCCCATGCAGGGATGGTTATGTGCGAGAGGATTGCTGGACTCCTCGCCGTCGTTGGGTGGTGCACGTAACCGCTGGTCGGTTACGGCTTCCTCCACCACCAAGTCCATGCTTCCGAAAACAAACAATATAACTAATCCCATACCCGACTTGGAATGGTAACCGGACGAGAGGCCGTGGTTCGCCATATGGATAAGCCGTCTTATCTGCTTTCCTCTTCCCCCGGGATAAATATGTAAATCCTATCCTATCCAGTCGTTAGTATTTACTGCTGTACTGTCTCCAGGCCTCACTTCAATCCTCAATGCTGTAATGTCAATAATTGAAAATCTTCTTGCAGTCTTGTTTTCCAATCTCTGAAACCATGAGTCTCTGACTTATGGACTAGCCCACTGGTTCTTAAACTGGGATGCGTGCCCCCCCTTGGGGGGCGCAAGATGCTTTCAGGGGGGGGGGGGGGGGGGCGAAAGGTAACAAAATCGAATCGAAAATTTCCACGCAACGGCACCTAAAAATGGTCTCCGTGTTGTGTTAATAATTCCGGCTTTTTCACATTATAATAAATTTTTCTGTCTCATAATATTCAATCTATGACAAGTACAACAATTCAAAACGTCTCTATTTTAATTCATTTGTGTCCAAGGTTACTTGCGGTGGCGGCGACGACAAAAAACTCATTACCGACCTAAAATACCACGCAAATTTGCGGACATAATGATGTGATAATGATAATACTCAATCAATCAGTAATAATCAACTGCTCGATTATATTTAGTTTTGATATATATTGCGCTCATGCGAATTCGTTATCGTCGTTCGAAAGTTCTGGTGTAAAATCCCAGAAAGAATATTAAATTTAGTACAATGAGAATACATGTAAAGTTTATTAGTAAATCAAAAATATATATTTATCTCCTCGAAATTCCGCGATACGTCTTCTGGGTCAGTCATTGAGATTACGCCACTCGTTAGAAGAGCCGACTTTTCCAACGGATGTGTAATAGTTTTTGTGATGGTTGAATAAAATATTAGATCCATGACCGATATACATATTTAAAATGGTTGCTTTATTTATTTAATTGTAAATAATTAACTTTAATGAAATAAAAGCACCCCTACCCCAAATAACCACCGCAATTCGCGGACATAAAAATGTGTTGTAAACTGACAGATTGCATTTTGTTTTGATTCATATTCTTGCAAATTAAACCAATATGAGCTTTCGCTGCAACTCTTACTCTGCGCCATTGCAATGGTGCCACTCGATTGATTTTCAAATATTATTGTTAGAGAAATTCCCAAGTTTGTGATAAAATCCCACGGTGGAAAATTTATTTCAAGTCGGTAGTTTTAGAACATTACAGGTGTGCCGCAGGCACAAGGTGAATGGCGAAGTTGTACTCCGATGGGTTTTTATGCCTAAACAATCATAGCAATGACAGCAAGGAGACCAACACTCTTACAGCGCCATCTTAATACAAAGCAACCAGGCCATCACAAAAGCAAAATTTTAAAGAAAAAGGGGGGGCGAAGTTTGTAAAATTTTTCAAAGGGGGGCGCGACTCAAAAAGTTTAAGAACCACTGGACTAGCCTATAAAAAGGTTCTGTCATTACAGCATTACGGTACTACGTCTGTAGCCTATGTCCTGATGTTTGTATGTTGATGTCTGAATGTTATAATAGCAAAATATTGCATTAAGTTAATTACAGATTTAGATGGCGCAGTAGATCTATATTTGAAGGGGAGATGATTATATCCAATAGCAATGGAGGGAGATCTAACAGCAATCTTCCAAATTTTTTCAATGTTGCAAGGTTGGTAAAATACTAGATTCTCAGATTGGGGTTGATTTCATACATTTGGAAAGAGTTTTTCTGTATGTTTCCTTGTGTCTTTTGACTGTACACGCTTACATTGCTTCAATATCAATAACCGAATAATGACCCTTAGACGAGTAGACAGTATCATTAATCCTTTATTTCGGATATGTCCGTATTTATTGTGGTTATCCGTATTCGAATATTGTTAAGTCTTATTTTAAACAGGACTGTCCCTCATCTAGTTTTAGAATCAAGTGTAATTACAGAATTTTGGGAAGAACCTCAAAACTGTGTAAAGTCCTACTGTTTATAGACCACTAATAAATGAATAATATGATAATTGAATGGTTATTAAATATTTTAAGATTTGCCGAAAGAGTTCTGGTCCAGCCACTATCCATATTAAGAATTTTATTTCAATATAAAAATAACAACTTTCTATCAACGTCTCCTCACACAATTTATTTTGTTTTAATCAGTTCATTTGCTTTCATCCATACTCAATTCCAATTAAACGGATTATGTTTTTTTTCATTCAGATGTGTCGTCAACACTAAGATCTCAAAACTTATTATGTTCATTTTGGCGGCAATGGCAATTGGACATTTAACGATGCATTATTTCATATCGGTACCACCAGAAAATAATAAACAACGAGACGCTCTTGATATTGCAGAATCCAACTTAAAGTGAGTGATCAGATATAATTTACTGCGTTTTCTGTGAAATGTAATTCGAGAACAGTGACTCTCACTAATTTCATTGACTAAGCAATGCTAATATCCCAAATTAGGAAAAAAGAGTTTTTATATATATTTTTTAATAGTTTGTTCATTCATTTCAACGCCTGTTATTTTGTCCAGTTTAATCTGAAATTTTCCTAAAAATTATTTGGAAAACCCTGTGGAAATCCACATAAGTTAATAAAACAAAACAAATTCATCTGCTTCATTTCTAATTTAACTATTCAGAAAGAATTACGGTGGCCATTACTCATATGAATTATTATCTGTTGAATTGTTAGATATTCCTGTGTTTGATTAACAGCTAAATTGCACAGCTCTTCATATACATATATATATATGCTTAATGAGCATTTTGGAGTTATATAATAAAGCAATCTAATAAGAATCTTAAGTAATTACTGGTATATTTTCAGAAATATTAAACATATCGAGGAATTGCAAAGGATAAAGCGGTCGGTTTCATCTGAACTCCGGGACTTAGAAAGTCAAAGAAACAAATTACAGGTAGGCTATATTATTGCCACAGACATTTTTGATTATAAATTATGGTACTCCAGACAAGAATTTAAGGAACATGTCAAAATATGACACAATTCCTAAGTTTTAACTTTTTTTAGATATTCTCACTTGAACACATCACTCCAAAACATTTATGTCCTTCGAACTTGTTTTTTTTAACTGAATGTGTTGAAGTTATACAAATTGCGATCAATGAAATCCTTGAAATGACCATTAGAAAATATTTCTTGTTCAATTTTTGTTAGGATGAAATTACTGGATTTCAAAGTCAATCAACTTTAGCAGAGAAAGAATCTAAGCGTGCACAGTCTGATTTAGAATCTTTGAAACGACAAATACTGCAGGTATTATGAACTTCTATTCTCCAATAGTATGTTACTAATCAATATATACAGCAATGTGAAGGGTCATAGACAGTACAAAAGTATGTGCCATAAAGGATTTTCCAAACAATGTCTATTTTTAAAAACAGAGTGATTCTCTGATATAAAGACAAAAAATTTAAAGTCTTAGTGAGCCTTATTCTGGTAGCTATGCACTACCTCGCTGAAATTTGCTAGCTCAAAATATATTGGGTTTCACAATTTTCTATCAAAAGCCAGCAAAACTCTGGAAAAACAACAGTATATAGCTCTGAGAAAATTTGTGACAAATCAACATAAAATAGTCTTAGCTTACTAGTAGCAAAGTAATAATATCTTTATAATAACACTTCCATTTTCAGCTACAGTAAATCATAAAAAGAATGGCCCAATTCCATTCCATTTATGTGCTATTTATTTATTGTTATTTATTTGTATATATTTATTACTTTATCACATATCAAAGGTCTATAAATACTAAATAATGCAATTACTAATTACTTTATAAATTGAATGTGAAGATTTAATTAAAAAGTAACTACTGTTTGGCAGACCAAAAATGAAAGATTGGAGATTCTTTATCAAAATCCGAAGATGGCGGCTCCAGTACGATTATTACCAAAAGAGGAAGACAATATTGACATTGATCCTCCAACACGATCAGATTGGTGAGAACTAATAGAACTATTGATACAATAAACTGTGAAATGCATTAACTTTGAATTTGTTCATTTTGATACTCCTAGTCTAATATATCTATAATATTGTTTGTTTGATTCTGGGCATATTGTATATATCTAGTTACTATTAATGAAGGATCCATTCTAGGTAGACCTTTCCCACTTTACTATGATTTTATGTTTATTTGTCAAATTATTAATTATTAGGCAATATTCAAAACATTTTCCAAGCATTATAATGTTATGTTTCTTATTAGTATTCAGTATTGAAACTCAGTCAGCAGTATAATGTTTTTAAATTGATCATATAACAATACTATTCGGTACTCCCGAAGTATGTGAACCAAGATGGCGGACACCTGAACGTAGTATGTGTACCAGGTTAGGGTCATAATTTTATTCCAATGTTCTTTATTTTAGTTCTATTACTAGTTCAGGGACTAGCCAAGTGACTCTCGTAGTATTTGTACCTGAAATTATGGCCTAACCATAACCCGGTATACATACTATTTTCTGGTGTCCACCATCTTGGTTCACATACTTCGTGAGTACCTAATATTCTGCATTCCTTCATTGATATTTTTGTTTTGTAGGTGTGGAATGCATAACTGTTTCGATTACTCTCGTTGCTCTCTGACATCACAGTTTCCCGTTTACGTTTATCCACCAAATAACAACGGTAAAATTTATTTTTGTTGTCTATTATGTTAATTTTGGTTATTGATTTCTGCTGATGTTCCTTGATTGATAAAATTCTTTGGTTTTGAAGTATGTGAAGTTGTGATTTTTAAGTTGTTACAGTCTAAATTTAGATATATACTTCTTCATTTTTTATTTATTTGAATTCAAAAAACATTTCTAGAAATGATTTTGTAAAATTTTCAACCCTTGTTAAAAATTTTGCAGTTTATTTGGTATTGTAAACATAACATATTCCAGATTATTGCATAGTGACCTATAAAGTGTTGAAAATAAAATGTTACCAGAAATTTTCCTTTTGTGTTATTGCCAAATCTTTATTGCCTCCTATTTTGCCATTGTTTTGATATATATTGCTTTGCAGGTGAAGATGCAGTGTGGCAGAAAACAGCTTATATATTAGATACCTCATTGAATGCTTTTCTCGGAAATTCTTATGCTACATCAGATCCTGCTATTGCATGTTTGTATGTTGTCATCATAGGAGAAGTTGAACAAGGTAAATCACATCTATAGCGTATACTTATCTTATTTATTTTGGTATTCTTTTACACATAATCAGTGTGTTGGCAATGGCTATATTGTAAATGCAAAAAGGTCCACTATTCTCTATTTCGATGTTAATTCAATTACCGGTATGTACTTTAAATCCATTTGGTGATATTCTTCAGTCAGATTTTATATCAGAAATATCATTTTAATCAGAAGCAACTGTAGAATTTATATTTTTAAGTGGTGTATTTATTATATGCCTTTTGCTCTACCACTCCACCCTCTCCACTGCTAGGTAGGAAGGAGCTACTATTGTTTGGAAAGACCATAACCTTTCTGGTTTGGTATTACCTACGCAATTTGATACATTTCAGGTGAGGTGGTGGAGGGGGATTTGAACCCAAGGTTTAAACCTGTCATGCCATCATAGTCAAGTCTAGCAGTTTAACTACTAGGCCACCGAGTCCATGAAAATATTTATGTTGAACTGAGTGTTGGATGAACTCATAGCCAACCAGTGGACACAGGAATCACCCTGCCATGCCGAGGACTTTATCCTGAATGATTATTTTCCACACCTATTAATTCCACAAACTTAAATTAATGGTTTCTTTCCTTCTACTAGTAAAACTGCGGTACCAACACATATATTCATGAAATTAAATTGGCTTTTAGATTCTTTGAAAGGAAATCAAGAACCTGCAAATATTCAGAGGTGGTTGTATTCTCTTCCTTATTGGAAAGGTGATGGAAGAAATCATATTCTTGTTCATATGTCAAGACAATCAACCAATCAGAATCTTCTGCTTGGAGTTAATACTGGCAGGGCAATGATTGCACAATCATCATTTCAAAAAACCCAGTTCAGAGATGGATTTGATGTTATTTTACCATCACTTATTTCTACGTCAGATAAGAGTAAGTAAAGTTATTGTATTCTCGCTTACTGAATTTGATACTAACCCACTTATACTAATGTAGTACAAAAATACAACTACAGATAATTGAGTATTTTAAATTAATATTGTTTTTGACTGTTTACTGCAACCATCTTAAATTTCTTTGCTGGTAAAACATTTGCTGATAATTTCATTATAAATTTATTATCATAAGCTAGTTTTTTATTTTGTGTAGTGAGTAGTAAATTGTTTTTCTTTTTTTTCAGTGAATTTTGTAAAAAAGTTCTCTGATATCAGTGAATTAGAAGACAATAATCCATCTAATGCTATCATGCAGGTTAGTGTGAGATATTATTTTTCATATATTTTTTCATCCTTCAACAAGGTGAAAATTTGTATCAACTGGTAGTAATAGTACTTTTCGATACATTCAAATTTAATACTCATGGTCATGACTGTAATCTGTAACTGTAAATAAAGAGATTTTATTAATCGTATTCCAAAATAAATTAACTGCACTATAGCTACAAAATCTTTGCATTGTTGGAATAAGATACCTAAATGTTTTAATAACATTCAAAAGTTTGATTTTTCAACTGCTGAACCTTCCTCAAAAGATATATACCAATGAGTTACTCTGTCAAATTCGTAACTGCCTTAATTTCCACAAACCTAATTTGTAGGCATATTGCATTTTTTCCTGCTAATTATTAAAGATTTGTTAAAATGCTATTCAATTTTTGTCACAGGTACCAGTGATGCGAAAATATTTTTTAAGTTTTGTTGGTCAATGGTCGCCTAAAGAAGATCAGGAATTAGAAATTGGGAAGGAACAAGGTAAAACTATGTTATGAAAGGGGATGGCATTTTCATATCTATCGAAGGGAGAGCAAAGTTAGATGGCTGACCGCAGTCTCTTGTACGGTTAACAGTTACCAGTTCAAAGTTGGTTTAATAATAGTAATTGTTGGAAATCCAGCCCATCAGTGGTTACTATAACCATACTACAACAGCACCATGCAACGTTTTCTTGCACATGATTATCCACATACTATTTAATTCTATGAAACCCACAAAGTCATCTATAGATCAGCGATAACTTGTAAACATGCTCCAAATGTTTACCACAATGACACAACCACATAAATATTAACAATATCTCGCAACTTTTTTATCGTGCTGATTAATTTTGATATAATTCATTTTTTTTTTAGTTTTTAGAATAGTAACAATAGGAGACCTGTTTTGGCTTATATCAATTAGTGATTATTACAATTTTTTAGAGGATTCTTTGAATTTGGAACCTGTCGATGAAAAATTTCATGCAACATTGACAGAGCATCTGGAAGAGATGTCGAGTGATGAAAAACATGGGAAAATATTATTTGAATCCTCTTGTCTGAATGGAAGATTGGTTACCTCAGGTTTCAAGTTAGTTTTAAAAAAAATTTCAAATGTGATTATGGTCATTGCTAAGAATTCGTAACCTTAATTCAGTCCGAAAAGAAATTTTTGAATGAAATCTTTCAAAAAATTTTATGACTAATTATATTTTAAAAATAGGTCTGAATGGGCATTGTGTGGAACAACGGAGTCTCGTACACAAGTTCTCTCCCAATCAACATTCTCTCTCATTGTCGCACCAGAAAATTACAACATAATAAGCACTGCTTTATTAGCCACAAGACTTGCAGAATCACTCCATTCCGGTGCCGTTCCGATTATACTTGGAAATCAAGCGAAACTCCCTTTTCATGAACATATAGATTGGAAGAAAGCCTCTATTATGTGGCCTAAGGTATGATTGAAAATTTTATACTAAGACAGAGCTTTCACACCTGAGTTCCTCAAAAAACTTAATAGGTTTTATGAATTTTTGGAGATCTGTAGGGCTTGGTGATAGTGTCAATTTCTAAATACTTCTTTGTTTGACACAGTATTTTATGCTTTAACAACAGTTAGGAATAAAGAGTACTTGAGTAGTGTGAATATGTGCACAAATACTTCATTGAGCAACATGGAGTCGCAAAATAAAGTTTGCGAGAGAAATGCAATAGCAGGAAGGTCATTAAATTTAATGCATTTTAACTTCTGTAATAACCTTCACAACTAAATATAATTTTCATACATTTATGTTTTTTTGAATAAATGTCAGTATGGGTTCTGTGATGAGCCCAATATCAGGGGTTGGTTCCCCAATGATAAGACGGTTGAAAGGCACTGTGCACTGAATGGTGAAGTGCCTGGGGACTGGAGTTTATTTGTATTCACTTGAAATATTTTGAATTTGCAATTTTGCTAATTTATAATTTATATTCTCATTTGATTTAATATTTTATATTCTCAATTGGTTCGACCATGCAACAATGTGTTATTTATTGAATCTAAAAGTTCATGTTTGCTTCATTTCTACCCTATTCAAATAATGAGATTTCATATTGGGTTGTCTGATTACTTTAAAACAAACATGAACATTTGATTTACTGAGCAAATGAAGTACAATATCACACTAAAATTTCATTGGAATTCCATTACCATCTGTTGATCTTTCATATCTAGTCAGCACATGCCGTGGTATTTAATATTTGTGGCATGTAGATGTCACTAGCTCACACACAAAGAAACAGAACCTAGGTCATTTGCAACATATTTTAGAGAGAACATAACTTTTGTGCATATCATCCTAGAATACTGCACTTTTGGATATAATTGAACACAAACAGAATTTTATTTTGGGGTCATTCTGTATAGACAGAATAAACCTAGTTTGTACACCATGCTAATATCCTTGTGCATTTCTCTTTACAGGCAAGAATAACTGAACTTGGATTCTTGTTGTCAAGCTATCCACATTCTGATATATTAGCCATGAGAAGACAAGGACAGTTTATTTATGATACTTACTTTTCATCCGCTAAGTCTGTGTTAGATTCCATGTTGGCTACTGTTCGTACAAGACTAAATATTCCACCATTGTCTATACAAGATGAACAGAGGTAAGAGGATGTTGAATGATAATGATAAACTTGATGCCGTTCAATTTGTAAATGGAATGACAGAGTTGGAGCCCATTTCATTATTACTGTACCTTTGACTATTTTAGCATTGATATGTTTACGATTGGGATGATATTTCCAGCCAAAATTGATCGGTTAACAGTCGCAATTGTAAATTTCAAACACTGTACACTTTTTTTCAAACTTGTTGTCATGCAATTTTAGTTGGATCGTAGAAAATATAAACTCTTTTGAATTTGACAACCAAATTTCAATTACCATACATTTGGAGTGAAATTTCACATTTTCTTGATGTTTGCCAAGACTAGGAGTAAATTTGTTGACAATTAATTTTTCATGGATGAAAATATACCACCCGAGTACTTCCTGATGATATGACTTATGTATCAAAATCTATTTTAAGTATTAGGTAACTACCCGAAATTGATTAATCATTCTCAGTCCCAGTTACTGGGGCCTTACAACTTTGGTTTCCTGATAAACCCTAAGATTTGTAAATATTTTGTCAAAACAAGATTCATCTATTCTGCTTGAAGGTTACATTTCTCGACATGAAATATTCAATTTCAATCTTTCATCTTGAAGAGTCTGGATAATTATCCAATATACTGTGTATAGATAATAATTTTACTTTTTTTTCTCTTTACCAAGTAAATGCAATGAAATTGCCCAACATTTACCTAACAATGAAACCAATTTTGAATTGCAGTAACGTAGTTGAGCATAAAAGTTATGCTTTCGAAAAAGAAGAAGCACCCGGAGATGCTACATCTGAGTTTGCGATGCCTCCACCAGAAGGAAAAGTAGATTCTGCCAAATTTATCAGGAATTTTACTTCAGTTACAATTGATGCAGATGATTTGTGGAACAAATCTCCTGGTCCTTTCCATCTTTACCCATCAACTCCTTTTGATAGAATCCTGTCTTCAGATGCAAAATTTCTTGGTTAGCTCAATTAATTCTATTTTGCTATCACCAACTATTATTATTGACGGTACAGTGTATAGATCTAGTCTGGACGTCAGGTCATTCAGTGATCAAAGTTTTTAAAACTTATGGTGACTTAGTTTGATACGTGGATAATGCTGGCAAACAATAGACTAGGTTAATAAGATCAGCGCTCTGCATCTTGAAGAATGAATTACTTTGGAAATGAGGTTTACTTTATATTGTATCAAACTTTATACTCCAGTCTTGTCTGAAAATTTTTTAATAAACCAGGGTGAAATGGTTATGTTATCGTTAAACCATCGTACTTTATCCTATGGACTTTTTTAGTCATAAAAGAACAATACAATTCTATAGATAGGGATGAAAATTTGAAAATATTTTTTTCGCCTTTTATCCAGGTTCTTCAACTGGGTTCAGACCAATAGGTGAAGGTCAAGGGGGAGTGGGTGAAGTATTTCAACAATCGATAGGGGGAAATGTACCCAGGGAACAATTCACTATTGTTATGTTGACATATAAAAGAGAAGAAGTTATGTTACAATCTGTGCAAAGATTAAAAGGTCTTCCATATCTGAATAAGGTGAGTATTACTTCACGTAGGTTAGTTACTCATTATATTATTCAAACAATACTGTATATGTGAAGAACTGACTAGTTTATTCCTATAACATTTTCTAGAGAATAATGAAACGATTCAAATATAGCCAGCGGATCAGACTCCTTTTTAGTTGGTATATTTTTAAGCATGTTTGTGCTTTGCGTTCGTAGATTTCCATTCTGTTTTGTATACGGTGATGCCATGGCCTAGCAGTTAAAGCCTTGGACCTAACTGTGCTGGCATTGCAAATTACGCATCTCAGGTTCAAATTCCATGTCCCCCTCCTCACCCAGGTTATAATAATTTGGGTAGCCAATGCGGAACGAGAAAGATTCAGGTCCTCTTAAACAAGAGTAGCTCCATATATATTTTTAGACATCAGTAGCTGCTTGTAGGTCTTTGTTTGGATCGAGACACATGAATAAGCGTCATTGAATAAAATAAAAATAAACCTATGAATGTATGAATAGTTCAAGAAAAAAATTGTGCTTCTGAAGAAGCCAAACATCAAATCGAAATAAGGAATCAAGATTTAATTTGGTTTAAATGCCGAGTAAAGATGCATCACACCAGCACATTCTAGTGTGTGGAAATAGAATGAAGCAATTGCTGAATTTCTAACACGAAACAAATATTATTGATTATTAACAGGTAATCGTTGTTTGGAATTCACCTGATGCACCGACCGATGATATGCAATGGCCTGATATTGGAGTTGATGTTGTTGTTATCAGACCTAAACAAAATAGCTTGAACAATCGATTTCTTCCGTTTAGTGAAATAGACACTGATGCTGTGCTATCTATTGACGATGATGCACATTTACGCCATGATGAGATTTTGTTTGGATTCAGGTAGGAATATTCAGTATTCTTCCAATAATGCATGTTTGGCAACCGGAAATGAATTTTGTTGTTTCGTCGAGGAAAGACAGAAGTATTACTTTGTACTTGATGTAGTTCCACCAATATTATTTACTTATTCAGTAATATTGTGATACATTTGTTATGTACACATTACAATTAGAAACCATTTAAACTTTACCAAAGCCGGAGTGCGATTTGCATGTTATCACCTGCTAATGATCCACTGAATATTGGGTACTTTTGTAGTGTGTGTGCCATAATTTTATTCTGATTTTCTTATTTTAGTTACGAGCTCAGGGTAAGTCTGTGTTAGCCCCTGCCCATAGGGGAATATACCTCTGCCCATAGGCTTATGTCCCTTTACACAACTTGATGTAAAATAGGCGGACAAAGTTAGTTACCTCCATATTGGTACACATACTTCTGGAGCGCCGATACACTGTAATAAGTTAGGCATGTCGTTATTCAGCAAAATATCGTTCTTTCTGATTGCAGCATCTTCAACTATTTCATATTTATCCAATTGTTCCATATTGCAGATCATGGAGAGAATGCAGGGAACGAATCGTAGGTTTTCCTGGCAGATATCATGCTTGGGATATTTCTGAGAATAAATGGAAATATAATGCTGATTATTGCTGTGAATTATCCATGGTGTTAACTGGTGCAGCTTTTTTTCATAAGGTATTTTGTTATATTTATACATTTATTATTATCTTATGCAAAATATTTATCTATTTATCACTTTTTTTCTCATCTAGGCGGTTCGAATTCGTTATTCACTATAATTTAATGTTATTGATGGGTCAATGATAAACAATTTTATGGCATCGAACAACTCTCCATACTCGCCACCTGGTCGATTTGGGTTTGAGGCATTTATTATTGTGTCAGAGTTGAGATTTCAGTATCATATTCGAAGTCGAAAATATGACTTAGCGTTCTCAACATTCGCATTCCTCATAGTTTCTATTTTTGAAATGTAAAAAAAAATTCAAATTGTATGCAAGACTGCTTATTTTTCGTACTCCACACTCAGTCCACAGACCTGCTTTTGGTTACTGTTACTGATTGTGATCATTAACCCCTGTGTGCGGTTCACTTATATAAATTTTGTGATATTACATAATGATTATTGTTTCTTCAGTACTACATGTATATGTATTCATATTGGATGCCACAAGAAATCAGAGACAAAGTTGATGAGTTGATGAACTGTGAAGATATTGCTATGAATTTTCTTGTGTCGCATTTAACAAGGTTACCTCCGATAAAGGTAAAATTAGTTTGCATCATACAGTTTTAATGTGTATATGGAAGCTTATTATTAGCAATATTGGCCATTTCAACAATGCTGTTATCTGATCTGACCGACATATATGAAGGTTGATATAGCTGATATATCTTGGATGTGAAAGTTTTTTATCTGAACACTCACAAATTATTCTTGAGTGAATAAAAGTAACACTCGAGGAACAATCTAGGACCCTTTGCTCAGAATTTGTGATCTCTCTATTATATGTTCCAAATGGTCTGGATTTTATGTCACTTGCGATACTGACTGAGTAAATCCAAATTTACATCAAGACCACGGTATTACGCCTTCTTCCATTTTGTTGCAGGTTACATCAAGGTGGACTTTTCGATGCCCAGGCTGTCCTGAGGCACTCTCCACTTCACAATCACATTTTGATGAACGTCATATTTGTATAAACTATTTTGTAAAAGTATTTGGCTACATGCCGTTACTAGGAACACAGTTTCGAGTTGATTCTATATTATTTAAAACGAGATTACCTCGGGAGAAACAAAAATGCTTTAGGTTTATATGATGTATACATCAAATCTCTATTATTATCGATTGAAATACTCAAGTCATCTCTGCTGATAGTTGCTTCTACGTTGGAGTGGTGCGTAGAACAACTCAAGTGTGGAATCTGCTAGCCTGTAGTTGCATCCTCGGCAAAGCATTAGATCATCCAAGGTTCGAAACTAAATATTATCAAACGCATGGAAATAAATAATCCGATTATCGTTTACAGAAATATTTATATCACTGCTCAAAAATTTCAATTTCACATGTATGGAACGTGCTTGGCCCATCTGTTTGGGTTATACACATGAATATAATGATTTCTATTTTTTTTATAAACAATCCACTTTACCTTTTTGAATTCGAGCTTCTTGTTCAGACGAGAAATTTGTGATTACCTATATGTTCTGCATGGTCATTATGATACCAATTGGTCTTTCTGTAGCAATTTTATAAAACATTGATGAATAGTACATATATGATTCACTTTTTATATAGCATCTACATATATGCTTTTGCAATTTTTTTTTGTTATTTTGATGTTTTTCATTCAAATAGTGCTTCCATTCCGTTCAAAATTATCTTGAAAAAAAAAAAAATGAGTAAATCTTTTTTTAAATATAAATTAGGTGGGAGCCAGAGTTTGGTATCAAACAAATATATGTTATGCATTATAGTACTTTTTGGCAAAAAACGTCATTTGATGGATGACTCAGGATTCTGATAGTAATTTTTTTATAGCAGCTTTTCACACCTTATTTTAAACAAGGATTTAGATAATAATTTACTCTTATGTAAGAAGCTACTTTTTGAAGGAATGTAATTTTTCTAGTTTCTTCATCCGCCTACCTATTTATTACATCCTGGTGAGAAGGGAGGGATTTGGACCCAGTAAACCAGATTAGTCTAATCCTGACATGGGCAATTAACGGCCGGTGGGCCAAATCCGGCCCATTGAGTGGTTTAATCTGGCCTGCCTGATGCTTCCACAACCCAACTAAAACCAAATTTGGATGTTTTAGCTGAAAAATTGCTCAAGGAATTTGTTGAGATTGCGATTAAATTTAGTTTTGGCACAAGGCTTATTGTTTTCCACTTTGTGACACTGTAAATATTGTTCATAAAATGTAACTTTTACATCACACTTACATAGCCCGCCAGTCCAGGTGGCGAAATTTTTGGCCCCTGGTCTAAAAGCCTTGCCCACCCCTGGTCTAATCAATCTCTCTTACTACTAACTACCATTATAATGACAGAACCCTTATACCAGCATCTGTTACTTTTTCACTGTGATCTTTTTAAGCAAAACCTTTTTCAAAGTGGTTCCAAACACTGCATTGCTTCGAGATGCTTATATGTGAAATTTGTATCAGTGATAGGTTGATATGATTCATATTTGAGTTTTCTTATTTTTAGCTTTCAAGGTTTTTAGTGAGTCTAGCAAGATGGTCTACGCTGGTGCTTTTTCATGCATATTAAATAAAGTCAGAATATGACATGGATAATATTCCTCACCATTGCAATTACTATTCATATTTTGTCAGGGTAATAGTATATATATAATGACTGTTGAAGTTGGTTGTGCCTGATTCAATTACAAAAATAGTTTGATGAAAAACAGTCAATGTTTTTCTCTTTTGTTTCTCATTAAATACAAAAATGGAATAATGTCCATATTTTATATAATTTGTTGTAATACGTATTATCGAAAACTATTCTGTACACATGTACCTTGCCCTGCTCAGTCTGACTTAGTAAAGCCGTTAGTATAACTCGTTTGTATCCTTATTACATAAGCTTCATATTTTATTTATTCCGTTATTATCAGTATTCTGTTGAATCATTTCTTATTTTTTTTATTGCAGTTTTTAGTGTTTGAGTTATATTTTTGTTGCAATGGTTTAACCCTTCAACATGGTTAAAAGTTATTTAACGTTAATGTAACCAATTTTCTGCCAAATACTCTGATGCTACTTTTAGCCAAGATATATGATGCAGTTTTCTAATAGGATGTTTGAGTACATTCAGATCTCAATCGTAATGTTTTTGTTTAAAATTTCAATTGGTTCATTTCTCCAGCATAGAATACAATTATTTATTATTTTTGGAAAAAAACATTTCTGATGTAGATGATAACAGATTGACAATTCTAAATCTAATAAACCTCATCTTAATAATAACCTCTACTAAGTACCTCATTTTCACACAAAATGCTTATAGGTTACTTTATTCTACGTCATTCATGGTGTTTTCGCCAGAAATTGATGCCTGAATGCACCATATATTTAAGCACTCTCTGACACACATAGTTTTCTTTGATGACCAATAAATGTAGATGATGCCATCTATGTTACTTTGTTATTTTTTTACATTCATCAACTTTATATCAGTGCATATTCAGCATTTTCAATATATTTCTGCATGCGAATGAAAAAATTGAAATTGTTACTCAATTATCATACTTTCAATAAAATTGAGGATACCGCCTGTTCGATTGCTTCAAAAAGATTTTTTTTTTCCTTGGAAAGCGTGAGCTGAAAGTAAATTTGAATTTGCGTGATGGAATTTCCTTATCCGTGATGGGCTTAGCTGGCCGCCAAACATGATGCTCCCGCTTCTTGCCTGTACCGACCTTTGAATATTGCTCTGCTGTTATTGTTTTTTTGAATCGGAGATGACTTCGCCAGGAGTTTCGTAAATATGGCATAGGCCACGAATACTTGTGTGTTAATTGAAGCCTTCATGGCAGAATTCATCAGCCTTTTGTCGCTCGCGGGCCAAAATTAAGGGTAGAAAGTCCTCGCGGGCTGCTCATATTTTTAGAAAACAAAACAGATGGCCATTGAATCACAATTTTTTCACACAGATCAGAAGTTGAAATTGAGACACTTGTTGTTGCATTACGCTTGATAGCTTCTAGTCATCAAGTGACACATTAGAATCTAGTGACTAGATCAGTGGTTCCCAAACTAGGGTCCGCGGACCTTTTGGGGTCCGTGAAGTACTTTTCGAGGGTCCGCGAAAGAAATCTGTTGGATTGCTCAAAGTTTGATAATGCAAAAATTAACTGCTTAAATTTGGAAAGACATATTTATCGCATTATGATGCTTTACAATCTCTGCTGAGGACACTGATTCTTCACTTTTTGTTTCGATTAGGCCTTCCCGATTGTGACGTCACAAAGCTATGGCAGCTCCTGCCACGAACAAACCGCGGCGTCTCATGCCATGGTTTAATGGCGCTATAATTTAGTAATCAGTATTATCGGCATATTAACAAAGTCATGCGCCGTATTTTCGTTTAATATACCAAAAAAAGTACCAACCTACTCATTGTTTGTCACCAACAGGGGCAGCCCTGCCAATACATCCGACATGCCTTGGTTACCGGTACGGCATCAAAATTTTACCCGACATGATTTTTTAATTTGCTGCCGTGGTACCGGTTTGGGGCAGCTAAAAATTCAGTCGCCGTGGTTTAACCGGAGCTCCAGAAGTAATTTACGTGCATTAAGATGGCGCATAACCTGAACATGGTATTGTGTACCGGTTAGGGTTCAGGTCGTGCGACATCTTGGTACATATGCTTCTGGAGCGCCGTTTAGCCATAGCGGCCATTGTTTGGAAATCCCGCTAAATCAGTGGTTCTTAAACTGGGGGGCGCGCCCCCCTAGGGGGGCGCGAGAGGTCACAAGATGGAATCGGAAATTTACATGTAACGGCTCCTGAAACGGTCTCCGCGTTCGTTAAAAATACCGGCTTTTTCGTGTTATAATAAATTTTTCTGTCTCGTAATAACTACAATAATTCAAGATGTCTCTCTATTTTAAGTCATTTGTGTTCAAGGTAACTCGCGGTTGCGGCGACTTACGACAAAATAAACTCATTACCTATCTAAAATACCACGCCAATCCGCAGACATAATAAAGTGTGATCAATGACATTAAACAACATGATGCGCAACTCCGGCATTTTTGTCCGAAGATCGTATTCGATAGCACGCTCCAATGCACATACTTGACGAGACGAAAACGAGCGGATGTGTGCTGCTTTCAAGGCGTAGCACGAATGGTGTTCGTGCCTGCTTTGACAGTTGTTGTCGATTTTAATGATATTTTTGAAAGTTGGGGTAAAAAGAAATCGGTAAAAGGTAAGGTGAATACTATTGTTGTATATCACACCCGGACATCGCACTGTTAAGTACATGTGGGAAAGCCAGCCTTTGTCAAATACTACGAAGTTATTAATTCAGTACGGTACGTAGTTGCCCATTTGCCGAAATTACATATTTACTTACCCCTTATGGTTTCAAATAGTTCATGCACCTCCAGTTAGATTTTTTTAATCAGTGAGGATATATACTAATTGTTGATTGCTGCTCATTGTAACATACTATTACGCATTCACTTTTATTTGCGTATTGAATCAAAGTGTTAACAAGTTCACCTAACATTTCACTCATACCGGTCTATATTGTATAGTCTGATTTCTCAAGTATTTGGAGCCACGAATGCTTGTAATTTTCTGACTAAACCCTTTTATTAGTTGGTTTATATACCAAATTCAGTAAAATATTTTTTAAATAAAACATGAGATATTGGATTTATTAGCTTTTCCATTCTGAATCATATAGACTGCTTTATTTATTCTTAACGAAAATTAATAAATCTCCTCTCTTTCTTCAGATGTGAAAGTTGTGGACAAACCTGTCTAAGCATTGTAAGACTCTTGCAGCACAAGAGGCAATAGCAGAAATAGTAAGTATATCAATCAAGAAATTAAGCCGACATAAAGCAAAACTTTCAACTATTCGTCTAATCTCAATTTCCTATTATTTATCCACAGGACAACTATAGCAGACGGGGAGATATCAGAAGTCTGGCGACATATCAGTGACAGTGTGATTCCAAGAAATATAATGCAATTGAAAATAGAAATTTGCAATAGAAAAACAACCTATGGAGGCATGCAAAGACATTTGGCCCTCCGGTAGAGTTGTGTATGGCCCCCACATCCTGCAGAGCTTGAGGAAAATAACTAAAAATTCCAAAGCGTAAGATTGCATAAGCGGTCTTATTTGTAAAAAGGCACAAAACACGCCAGACATACTTAAAACAGCTTTGGAAATGAGGATTACGGGTACCTCACTGCACCTGTGTTATATTTGGTTCATCAACTTTTGGTAGTACTATAGAAGAAATTCCGGAAGGGGTCTAATCATCATTCATGATAAAATACTATCATATATTTTTTGAACAACTTCAATCTTGACCAGAGAACTTCCAGTGCGGCCCTCGAACGCTTAACAATAATTGTAATAGTATTTTGGAAGTTTTTTTTTTTATCTAAATGTAATAGATTTTTCAAACCTTCTAAAGTGAAATTGATTATTCACACAGAAAACAATTTACTGAAAGTAGTTTTGGAATATTTATTTTTTTGTCCACATTTTGACCCAATTAAGAATACACATCAAGCTAGCAAAAGAATACTTTAATAAAACACTTGAGTAATTAAATTAAACGCAAAGTACATGAAGAAGGTGTCATTTTCGAAGAAAATGGGAGTTGTAACATTTCTGCTTTTCACAAAATTCTGAA